TTCACTCCAAAGACACACTTGGCTGGGTTAAGGTTCATTGAAAGTATTGCACGATGCTTTAATTGGTGCGGAAGTTTGGAAGAGAAGAAATACCCACTGGCGAGTTGGGAGAAAATTTGTGTATCCGAGGAAAGAGGTGGTTTGCGTATAAGGTAGGGAAATGAATTGAATAAAACATTGTTGGGTAAATGGTTATGGAGATTCACAACTGAAACAAATAAGATATGGAAAGATGTGATTATATGGAAACATGACATGGAAGAAGCTATCTGGTGACTGAAAAAAACCAAGGGGTCCATTTGGTTGCGGATGCTGGAAAGCTATTTTAGTAGAGGATACTAGTACAAAATAGGGTTGCCCCAACGGTTGTAAACGTTAGGGCAAATCATGACCCCAACGGTTAGGACCGTTGGTGCTAAAAAAGGATGTTAGGGAAAATTGCGTTGGGGCTAAGTCAGTCCCAACGGTTGCTAAACTTGCACCAACGGTTCTAACCGTTGGGACAAAATATTTGCCCCAACGGTTGTAACAGTTGGGGCAAATATTAGCCCCAACGGTTAGAACTGTTGGGGCTAATATTTGCCCCAATGGTTACAATAGTTGGGTTTGTTAGATAAATTAAAAAAAAGGAAAATCAGCCAAAAATATTATGCACAAATTTCCAGTTCTTGCCTACTGCTAAAAACACTTGAATAGCTTGTTTGTTTGGCTTTGCCTACTGCTGAAAAAAAACATATATAAGAGGTACATAATAAAATCAAGAAAGAAAAAAAAAACACTCAGCTCTTGCCTACTGCTGTAATAAAAAAGAAACGAGGAGAAGTAACAAGACTTACTTCCAGACAATACAATCAATAGCAGCTTTATATTTGGTTTTGCCTGATGTCACTTGGAAACTTGTCTTTGCTGTTTGTTTTGGTACTTGAACCTTCATCGCAACTCCCAGTGCAAACATTTTAGCACCAAAGACACTCTTTACCTATAAAGTTACAAAATAAGATCAAATTGAAAATATAAATAGAGAAACTGGTATCAACTGAAGAATAAATTAGCTCTTAGCAAAATAACAAATTAAAAAAATATGTCAGCATGAAATCACCATGACAGCCAGAAATAAATATCAAATTTAAAAGAAATCAGGGTTATCCTAATTTTAATCTAGGCATTTGACCAGAAAAAAAAGCAGCGGTAGAATGTTAAATCATCCATATGCATGTTTCTCTAGCAGGACAAATAGAGACGCAAACCACATGTTAAATCATTAGTATCATGGAAGGTTCATGCTTCATAAAATTATATGTGAAGAGTAGTGTTATCTGTAATTTATCCTTCTAAAAATGACAATACAGGTGAGCTAGGTGCCACTAAATTAGTTGAGGGGTGCTAGTTAAATGTCGTTAGTTGCTTTGTTGCTAGTAAAATGAGTGGTTAGATCAATTTGGTTAGCCCTAATCAAAATATACAAATCTAAGTAAATCTAGTTGTTTCAACTTCTATGCATTAATGTCAAGCCATGTAACATGTAAGCAGGGTGAGATGATATTCCAATATTCAATTTCTCATCTTTGTTAAGTGAACTATTCCAACTTACATTAATAGAGAATTGCCATGAACAGTTTTTTCAAATTGTCAACTGAACTAATCTATATTAAATTTAATTAAACCAGCTAGTCTAGTTATTCTTATTCTTCTGCAAATGGAACTTAGTAGAACAAAAAAACTAAAAGGCCAATTTTTCACCTCAACAGTAACGGGAGCCAAACACTATACACTAAGCATTCCACTCGAAGTTATGCAGTCAACCTCACTTAAATACTCAATCTCATTACTCCAAAAATGGCCCAACTCTTCATACTTCATAGTTTGTATTTCTATGCCATATATTTTTCTGTAGAAATTCAAAACAAATTATGCCTTGGTTACAAAATGTGCGCTAAAGTCCAACATAACACGAACAAACTAAGTGAACCAATTCAATATACTGATAGCATGCCTATAGAGGTTGCATTTTGCATCAAAGTTTATTTCAAGCCACTACAATCATCACCCATGAGACTTATAACCTTAGCATACTATTCCATTGGTTCATCAGTAACTGCTACTAATGGAAATTAATAAGCTAGTAAACCATACAATCCAAGTCAAATAGTCACATATATTTTCTCAAAAATGACAATTGCAATTTATGCAACAAGTTATAGCTATATACAGTTACCACCAAAATGCATCAAGTCGACCAATTCTATTTGACTAAAACTTCATATATAAGGGGTGAAAAGCCACATTAACCAGTTTCTTGCCACAACAACCAGGATGTGTAATTTGCTTTCTAAGAAACCTAACTTAGTAGAATATAATGTTTCTCTTATCATGATTAGCCAATAAATTGTTAGCCATTAATGAAAAGCAGGTTACAGATTAGTAGGCTCTTAGCAGAAGACGTCTCTCCACATTTTTGGAACATTTTTGGATGCTAGCAATCGCATTGGCTATCACAAAGTACCCGCAACATTTTTGGAAAAAACTATGAGAAAGTTGAGGTCTCTATGACATGGAATTATCTAATCACTTGTGCAACAAGAGGAAAAAAAATCATTTGTCTAAACTTAAAAAGAGTTCTATTTAATATGCATTGCATATTACTTATAAGCAAGTTAAAAATAACAAATATTAGTCTGATCTCTTACTACATAAACGAACTGTAAGAGGTTGTCTTAACAACATTGATGCGTGATATTATCAATTAGTCATCAGTCAACTTAAACTAATGGTAACCTTTGATAATACACTGAATCAAGAGTTCCTCTTTCTTAAAAGCTTTGCACAAGGAACTTACACAAAGGCAGGGGTCTGGTTGAACTTGGCAATGAGAGTTTGATAGAAAGGGGTGGTGCCCACAATGGCGACGACGGTGGTCTTGGTCTGCTTGTTGAGACCCATACACGACTATGCGCAAGACCAACCTCCCAATGCGACAATAAACTGCACAAATCAACTCTTGTTACATGCTTAGCTTACAAATACGGCATTCAAGTGACCTACAATTTCATTCTTAAGGTATAGACAAGATTGATGGCTGCCAAAGTCCAAATGGATAACAATAAAGAGTGAACATACCATTTATGCCGATCTTTATTTTCCCACCACTCGATGATCCTAAACAACAAAATAAAGTCAAATAGCAGTAAAGCTCTTACGCCAAATAAGGGAAACAAATAAGGGAAATAGACTCACATACCTTCCAATGTAGAGGAGGACAAACAGCAGCAACGACGGAGGAGTAGCGAGCAAAGCCGGCCGAAAAGCAGCTGCAAGAGGAGGAAAAGGCTAAAGTGGTGATTAGGTTTTTGAGGGAAAAGGAAGGTGGATCAAGTTAGAGAGATCGAACATTTTTGGGGGAAAATAAAATTTGGGGGTGGGGCAGGCTCCCTCCGATTTTTTGTGGGGAAAACCGCATCACCCCAACGGGGGAAACCGTTGGTGCTGATAAAACTAGCCCCAACGGTTCCTACCACCCGTTGGGGCTGCCCTTATTTGTACTAGTGGGAGAATAATTTAAGTTTGCTACGTTCTAAGTAGGGAGGGGTAGGAACACTAGTTTTTGGGGGCAAATTGGAGTAGCAACAGTGTATTTGCAGAAAATTTCTCATGTAATTTTGAAGTTGCGGATGATAAGAAAGCTCTTGTCGCTGATTTGTACCAAATAGAGAACGGGGTGATAAGTTGGAATACAACTTTACAAAGATGATTAAGAGGCCAAGCAGAGGATGATGTTAGTATATTGCTTGAACAAATTCATAAAAGCAATATAAAAGGGGTGGGAGACGATAAAATTGTGTGCAGCTTAAATCGTAATGAATTTTTTTCTATTGGTTCCTATTTTGATGGTCTAAACCATACCATTGAGGGGAGTTTTCCAACACTTTCTTAAAATGCCGACCGTGTTTGCCTACAATCATGAAAAAAAATCTTGTTTGATTGGAGGTGTTCTTATGCTAGGAAAAAGAGAAATAAGTTGCGGAAAGCTATTCCAGCTATGACTATGTGGTGTTTATGGTGGGAGAGAAATAACGAAATATTTAGAAATGAGAACAAGTCATTAAGAAATTGGCTGAGAACGTGATTGCATTACTGTTAGATTGGTGGAGGATCCATGGGGAGGAAGGTGGAGCAATTGTGACATCTCTTTCTGATGATTTGGATTTTCGACTTAAAGCTTGAAGGATGTTGACCGGTGTTTGTGTGAGATTTAGTTTTTAGCCTTTTTTCCCCTTGTATTTACACTATCTTGTTGTACTTAAATATGCAGCCTTAATAATGCATTTATTTACTTCTCAATAAAAAAAAAACCAAAATTTCAAATCAGAGTTCATATGTTTAACATACCTGAAAAGGTAGATTTGGATCTATAGGCCGCCAAAATTGATCTTGTATGCATTACGCTAAGGCTAGGGTCAAAATAACTTTAACTAATTGATTAACAAATATGTTTGCCTCGAAGCCTGTTACTTCTTAGCCAACTTCACTTGGATATTAAATCCAAGCGTCCAGATTATAGCAGTAACTTTTGTTACTTCTTACAACACATTTCACCCTTCTGCATTTTTTTGATACTCGACGGTCTGATCCCTAGATAAAAGTTCATCTGACATGCCACTCATCCTTTCTTAATCCATAGAACATATATTGTCTAACATCATCATGTATCGAAATGCTAAGACCATCTGTCAACCTGATGCCCTCCTCCTGCGTACCTATGGACATGGTAAATTTAAAAGATACCTGAAGATTGTCCTTTAAATCTTAAAACAGAAAATTATATTGATGACAGCGTTGACAGCTATATATACTCAGGCTCATAGTTAGATGCACTAATACTTTGCAAATTCACTTTAGGTGTTTTAGATCAAGTGCATTATGCACCTGCATGTTGACTAGTTAGACTAAAAATATAATTCTTCAGTGCAAAGGTCTAAAATATGGACTTTCAAATTCTCCAGGGCTCAAATTCTTGAGGGCTCAAGCTGAACATATTGGGAAGGAAACCACAAGCTTGAGGACGAGTGGCTTTGAGATAGTATTTCCTTCGATGCTCAACGAAGCCAAAGTTATTGGGTTTGACCTTCCTTATGGCATTCCTTGCTGGACAGAGATCTTTGCACTAAGAGAGAAGAAAATCAAGAGGTAATACAAATTAAGTACCTAAAGTCCTTAGTTTCAAGAATTCTACTGAATGTCATACCAATATCTCAAACATGTTTTAGGATCCCTGTGGAAATGATGCATTCGGTTCATACAACCATGTTGTACTCACTAGAAGCATTACAAGAAGTGGTGCAGTGGAAAAGGATTCTAAAGCTTCAATCCAGAGATGGGAGTTTCCTAAGTTCTCCCTCAGCCACAGCTGCTGCGTACATGAATAGTGGTGACGCTAAATGCCTAGAATTCTTGACTTACATAATAAGAAGATTTCAAGAATATGGTATTAATTGCACAAAATACACAAACAAGCCTACATTTATGACATCTATGCTAGCAAATGAAAAATCCATGTCAATCATTTGATCACCTCTTAAATGTTCATCAGCAGCACCATGCCAATATCCTTTTGACCTCCTAGAGCGCATCTGGGCAGTTGATACAATTCAAAGATTGGGAATTGATCACTACTTCAAGGATGAAATTTCTGACACTATCAACTATGTTCACATGTAAGCTCGATATATTTAAAAAAACTTGTATGCTATTGGGTTTATGAATGATGTCAAATTGTTGTAACATAAGCATGTGTATTTGTCATGTACATTATTTTAGAGAATAATTGTACGTTACTATTCTTTTGTAGGAATATTGGGGAAAAGGGTGTATCTTGGGGAAGAGACAATCCAATTCCTGATGTTGATGATACGTGCATGGCCCTCCGATTGGCAAGATTACATGGTCTCCCTGTATCCTCAGGTAGAATATATATATACTAATGCTGTGTCATCTTACATTTGCCAAGCAAACTCAATCATGTATTTCACCAGAGGTGCTCGAGAATTTTAAAGACGAGAATGGAGCCTTCATATGCTTCCCAGGAGAGACGCACAGAGGTATTTCAGATATGTTCAACTTATATCGATTCTCCCAGATTTCTTTTCCAGGAGAGGAGATACTAGAGGTGGCAAGGCCCATCATTGAGCAGTACCTACAGAAGTGTGTCGACAATAATCAAATGGATGACAAGTGGTCCTTGAAAAAGGCCTTAGATAAAGAGGTATGCTACTTTAATTTTCGGTTTTAGTTGGATTTCTCTCATCTCTTCACGTCCATCAGGTTGCACGAGCTTTAAGATATCCCTGGAATATGAGTCTTCAGAAACTTGAAGCTAGGGAGTATATAAACCATTATGGAGAAAATGATGTTTGGATTGCCAAGACTATTTATAGGTAACAAAATTTGCTGTTTTATTTAAACGGTTAATAAATGTATATAACATCTTATTATTAGTAATGATGCTTGGATATCTTAGGTTGTACAATGTTAATAATCCGAAGTACTTGGAACTTGCCAAGTTAGACTATAACAGGCTGCAACCTATGTACAAAAGAGAGATCAAATCTATTCTGAAGTGAGTTTCGTTCTCTTTAACCTCCATGTCAGTGTTCTGGAATGTATAGAAGTCTATATCCTATTTGCTTACTAGTTATTTTACAATTAGATGGTGGACTGGATGTGGACTGAATGATCCATTTGTTACTCGAGTACACCCAAAGGCGGCCCACTTAGCAATCGCAGCTACTCTATCTGATCCAGAATTTAAAGAGTGCCGGATAGCCTACATCAAATCCACTAGCATTGAAGATGTCCTTGAAGATCTATTTCACAAACATGATTCTATCAGCGACTTGAAATTATTGTCTCAAGCAGTTAAGCAGTAAGTATATCAACTGATTTTCTCTATGATTGACAAACACAATAATAAATATGAGTGCTGCTACGGGGACCCAAAATATGGGACCAAGGGAGGGGACAGGTGATGTGTCCCCTCCCTATTGCATAATGAGTTGGCATGAGTTGGCATGGCCAACTCATTATGCAATAGGGAGGGGATACCTCACCTGTCCCCTTCATTGGTCCCATATTTTGGGTCCTTAAATCATTTTCCAATAAATATTTATAGTGCAATGAAGCTAGTGAGGTATGAAGTAAGGAAGATATGCGACTGATCTGAAGAAGTGTTGATGCATGCAGATGGAATCCTTCACTAGTCAGTTCTCTTGGACTAAAAGTTAAGGTAATTTTCATGGGAATGTATGACACATTGAATGAATTGGCGATCCAAGCTAGCAATGCTCAAGGAAGGGATGTTTTTCCCCGCCTCCATGAACTAGTAAGTATTTTCATTTAAAATCCGATATGAACATAGATCCTTCTTGCAAACCTAATGCTTTGAGGATGTGGCAGAGAATGGGGCGAATTCAATACTACCTGAAGCATAGAGAGATAAGAGAAATAAAACATTTTGTTTCGTGGAACGAATATACTGAGAATGGCAAAAAGGATCATGGTGTTGCCATCAGACTACTTCCGGCAATGTTTCTCATGGGTGAGATTCTGCCAGATAATTTTCTGCAATCCAAGATGCACGAACAATTGTCATTGTACCTGAGACTGCTAACTGATGTGAGGAAATATGAGGTACTGGCAATTTGTACACCAATAAGCTTTACCCTACTAGTTATATGCAGTGATTTCGTGGGTAAATTAAAAAAAGAAACCCCCAAAAATCTTTGGGGGTGTTTCTCACACAACCTCCCTAACTTTGTTTCCCAATTAACCTCTAGAAAGTTTCTCAAAAATCCCAAAACAATCGATGCGTTACAAATAACCTCAAAACATTTAATTCCCCCCCCCCCCCCCCCCAAAAAAAAAAGTCTCTTGCAATTAGAAGACCTTATTATCTGCCCAATTTTGTTCTTCCTTATTTTTTGGGGTTCTTCTCCTTCTCTTCTCCTTAATTTTTTTTGGGCTTGGGTTTGGGGGTGGGTGGTGGGGGTGGGGTGTGGTGGGGGGGGGGGCGTGGGGAAATAAAAAGCTTTTGGTGTTATCGAGCTGAAGAATTTTGGAGGTTTTGTGGGAGAAGTTTGGGCCTTGGGGGTTTAGTGGGAAAAATAAACAAAGTTCAAGGGGGTTTGTGCGAAACGCCCAAACGTTTGGGGGCGTTTTATGAAACTTACCCTCATTTCTTCCCATATAATGCTGCCTTCTCTTTTGTTCCAGAATATGATGGGAGCAGAAACTACTTCCCCTATTCATTCTTATATAAATGAAGCCAACTGCACGGAGGAAGAAGCAATAAGCCATGTAAAGAAAATGACAGAGGATGCCTTCCATGAGTTATTAAAGGAGTATCTAAAGCCTAGAGATTATCCTCATTGCCGAAGGTTAATGTTTGAACATGGAAGAATAACTCGTTTTTTCCTGGGGGATAACATCAGTAGCCTACTTGCACAAAGAGAGAAAATTAATGATGATCTGGAGAGGTTACTTTCTCCAGTTTAATTTGGAAACTTGAGATTGGGAGAATCACTAACATTTAAATATATCTGTTATTGAGACTATCTTAACCTATGATCTCCTAAAAATCTGAGATTCTATGTACTTAGCATGTATAGTAATTGTTTTATTGAAAAGTACTAGTTAATGGTTTAAAAAAGAGCACGCCTAGGGTCCAAGTGGTACCTAGGCTGCCCGCCTAGGTCTTGGGAGCGCCTAGGGAAGGTAGACCGCTTACACGGGCTGCACAGCTTAGGTCTTGGTTGTGATTTCCTCTACTACAGTCTTCAGGTCCCCTAACCTCCTGCGAACTCATTATGCCGCCTTCACCAACTATGAACACCTCCTTTGACCTTTAGCAAACCTCCACTACTCAAACAAATAAAGAAATCTGCCTAGACACCAGTACGGTGCCTTAGCGCTCTCTATAAGATTGGCATATACTATCAATTATTGTAACTAAAATTAAAAAAAAAAAACTGCCTAAGCGCGTTAGGCATAGAGTCTGGTGCCTAGGCAACCTAGCACTTTATGTAACTTTGGTATTAGTGCAATCAGATTGTAATGCAGAGTCAGGGAAGGGATTAGCCCACTTTGGGTCTATTCCATGCAGCCTTACCTTAGTATCTTTACGGGGAGGTTGTTTCCACAGCTCCAACCCGTGATCTCCAGTTCATGGCAGCAACTCTTGCCTTTGTGCTAAGGTGCGTTTCTAGTGCAATCAAATTGTGGTAAGTGAGACTGAAATAATCAGACTTGAATTTACTAGATTCTGGTTTTGGAAAGGGAGGGGAGCCCCTACGTACCTTCCCTTCTTAATGTGGATGTGCCTAACCATGGGCGAGTTTTGCAGGTCCAGCATATTTGTATAGCTATACATGATCTATCTTTTCATTAATATATAATTATCTTTTAATTAATATTATAATGAACTTCAAATTGTTTATATTGCAGAGTGGTTAGCGCTAAAATTCTATATAGTTTTCCGAAAATTTGCACTTTAATTAATACATTATGTTATGCAAATGTGAGAAATTCACCCCGAATTTTTGCATGTCATATTCATAAGCTAATTTTAGAAGTTTGAAAAAAGGTTTGGGTAAAATTTAGAATTAGAATATATAGTAAACTAAGGCTATCCATGCAAATATGCATGATTTGGGGGTCATACATATAATTACATCACAACTCAGGATATCAAAATGTAACTAATCACAGGGTTTTCCCCCTTTTCCTAGGGGTGTCTTATTAGAATGAAATTAGAAATGAGTTCCTCAAGAAAATCCCGCGTATATTTGTCATCTATCTCTTGCACAAGCTCATACACGAAGATGTAACACAAACAAGGTACCGTAATTCTACCGACATAATCTTAAACATGTTCTTCAAATACCCATCATAAATCACAAATATACTTGCATCTTTAGATAGTTAATGGATTGTATGGGGTGGCAACTAAACCTAATGGTGATGTTCTGCAAACTGTAGCCCTAAATCTCTCCATCATATCCAAGTCCTCAGCATTCATTCCCTTTGGAAGATCCCAATTGAAGTGGTACAGCATATTACCAAGAGTCAGATCCACACAATAGCCAAACAACATGTAATCCTAGGGCAGATCCTTCTCCCATCACCAAAGGGTAGAAACTCAAAACTGAGCCCATTGAAGTCGATAACGTTAACATGCAACCTCTTAGGATAGAACATTTCAGGCTCCTTCCAGTATCGAGGGTCATGAGCTATCGCCCACATATTGACAATGTCTCGTGTACTAGCATGGACATTGTATCCTTGGACTTGACATGTTTGTAGACATTGTCGAGGTACCAAGAGAGAAAGTGGGGGATGAAGCCTCATGGTTTCTTTGATGACTAGCTTTAAAAAGTGAAGATCTTTATGATCTTTGTCTTCAATCATTGGCTCTCCTTTCAGTGTTCATCTCAGGCTGGACCTTTTATATGCACTCTGGGTGTTTCATTAGTTTTGATATTGCCATTCGATAACTATTGATTCTGGGACTGTGCTGTTAGAATATAGTTCAGACAATATCCCTTGTTTGAATAATAACATACTCTCATTTATTACTGATGATTGTTTAATATGATATATTTTAGGTATAAACAATATACAAAAGATACAAGACAAAACGATGCAAAAATCAACATTCATGTTGATTTTAGCCATGACACCATCATGATCACAAGGACACCATTGATGGTCATGAATGAATCAATGGATTACAATGCGCAATAAGAGAAAAATAGAATCATGAATCAGAACCGTCGATGGAGAATAGGGAACCGTATACCATCGATGGACTACAATGCACATTTGATGAATTTTAGAAATCAGATTTCAGCTCATGCATGGATTACGGGGTAACAATTGATGGTGCATAGGGGACCATTGATGGTTCATAGAAAACCATTCATGGTCGTGTTTAATTATCAATGGTGATAGAATATTTTGGCAGATTTGAACTTTTTAATCTCAACCGTTTGTCGACCTCTTTCATCTCTGACTTCTACTATAATTCATATATATCTTTCCTTTATTATCAAAGGCTATATAAGATAGAAGAGATCATATTTTAAAAAGGTTCTTACATAAAAAAGAATTATTTTATTCTAGGGCCGGGTTTGTGTGAAGTTGATTTGTGATTCAATGCCCATAGCCTTGTAAAACTCTTTCACGTCACATTCAACATCTTTAGATCATTTCAACAAGGCGAGCTTCCTTGGATGCAACATCATCACTGCTTCTTCATCAAGTTTCACTTTAATTCTTTTCAAGAATGGTTTGCTTAAAAAGGGTTGTAAGATCTTTTTGATTTACACTTAAATTGTTTTCGTTGTTTTGTTTTATCTTGTTTTTACGGCGTACTCAAGCTAGTGATAATTGAGGGTTGGGAATAGTTAGGGCTAGATGTTACTCATCTATGAGGAGTTAAGTTAGACGACTAGTTTTGGGTAGATTTTAGGTGCGGTCCTTACAAGCCTACTAAATCAGATTCTAATTCAGGTGAACTCTGATCATAATAAGGAAGCTCCTTTGTCAAAAGGAAGAGTGGAGGATATCTATCCAAATTACTATAATCTTGCGTGTCATTTGGTTTATTTTTGGTTTGGAATTTCACTTTTATTTTGATACTATTTTTGTTATAAATTCTGTGTATTAGCGAAAATGTATGGCAAACCTATTCACTCCACTTTAGGCTTGCATCTCAGTTCCAACATGTGGTCACAGAGTTTCGTTACACATCTTTAGGTATCAAAAACCTAGGGTAAAGATGTCTAGTGTTATCGTCACATCAACTTTTCTCGAGGGACACTTTATAAACTAGTCCCTACTTTTTGATGGAACAAACTAAACCTATTAAAAAGTATGTACGAGAGTCTTTTTTCTGTCCACTAATTATGACTTTTATGAGTGTGTTGAAAAAGGCTACAAAGAACCCATTACCATTGTAGAAGGGGTTTCAGTTGTCACACCTATGGATAAGTGGTCACCACAGGACAAACAGAATAATTCATTGAATGCTAAAGCTATTAATACTCTGTTTTGTTCTTTAACTGTTTAAGAATTTAACAGCATTTCAAATTGGAACTACTACGCAGGAAATTTGAAAAACACTAGAGGTTACGCACGAAGGAACGTGGTAGGTTAAAGAGGCAAAACTTACTATGCTTGTCAGCAAATATGAAAATTTCAAAATGAAGGCCTTAGACAGCATTCAAGATATGTTCACACGATTCATCGATAACATGAATAAATCCAAAGCTTTTGAAAAGGAGTATGATAACTAGGAGGTTTGCAGAAAATACTTCATTCTATTTGGGGATTAGGAATAAAAGGTAATGACTATTGAAGAATTACAAAATTTTTCTCACTTAACTCTTGAAGTTCTTGTAGGTAATCTTCTCACATATGAAGTTCAATTAAAAGAAGGAGAAGATGCTTTGGAAGATGATTTCAAGAAAAAAATCATTAGCCGTAAAGGCCAAAAAGGAGAAATCCCAATCTAAGAAGAAAGAAGATTCAAGTTCAAGTTCTGAAGATGGAGATAGTCAAGCTAGATTCATTGTGAAAGGATTCAAATCTTTTCTCAGATTGCAGAATAGATGGAAATATCTTCAAAATAGACAAAATCAATTTAGGTAAATAATTATTCTTCAAGTGAATCTAAAACTAAACCTATTCGTTATCTTTGTAAGAAACTAGATCATCACAAAAATAGATGCCCATTGAACAAGAAAGACTACAAGTTGGAGAGCAAGAGTTTGAAAGTGATGATATAGGATATGACAACTGATGAAGAAGTTGAATCAAGTGAACATGATAAGATGGCAAATTTGTGTCTTATGGGTGGAAATGCCACAACTTTGGATTCCGAACAAGGTGAAGAATGCGACTCTGAACCTGAAAATTTAGAGGATGAGATATATCCTTCATATGATGAATTATATTCCAAATATAAGGAAATTCTTAAACAACTTGAAAAAAATTGTTGAAAAATATAAAAAAGTGACAAAAAGGATGAATACGAATTCCAAGAAAGAAAAGAAACTTTTGTTTAAGAAAATTGAATATTTTTCTTCAATTTTAGATTCAAATAATTCACACTGTGATATCACACCTTTTGTATGCACACAATGTTCTAAATTTCTAAAGCAAATTTCTTGTTTATCTAAGCAATTAGATGATAAACTCATTGAAAATGAAAAACTAATAGCTAAGCTAGACAAGCTATTGTGTGATTTATCATCTGAAATAATTAAGTTTAAAACTAGATGTACAACTATTATTTATTAGAATGAACAACTTAAGTCTAAAAACAGTAATTTGGAAAAGGCCATGAAAATTTTTTTGGGTTCAAAAGGGTTGAACATGATACTTTCCAATCAACAAATTGCTAAAGCTAAAACTAGAATTTGTTATCTATACTCATGAAAATACAAAATGTTTCAATCTTCTTTAGTGAAAGGAAACAATTTGGATTGTTTTGCTCCCATACCTAATGCTACTTATCATACTATGTGTTCTTTGTGTGGTAAAATGGGGCATTGTATCTATGAGCTGTGAGATGAGGTATAGGATTAAGGCAACT